ACTCTGGAGCAACTGCACTCTAAGTGCAACTGTACTTTGCAAAGTGCACAGCCTATTTGCCTTTATTATCTCAACCCCAGTGATTATCGCTAGTGGCTATAGCAACCGCTAGCAATAATTGCAAGTAGTGTTAGGCCTGGATGTTCGAGTCGAACGTAAGGCTGTTTGTATGTGTCGAACAGTAAGGGTGTTCAGCAGGCTGTTCACTCGCCAAGTGCTCCACAATGCACTGCGCTTTCTCACAGTACATTGGCATAGCCATGATTGGCCAAAGCAATGCACCTGACCACAGGTCAGGTGCATTGCTTTGGCCAATCACAACACAATGCGAGAGCCAAGATTGGCCAAAATCACAGTTCCCATTTTTAATTTTTTTGTTTTGCAGCTTCAGGTTCTGTTGCTGCATTATTAGTGTTCCTCCTTCTGCATCAGCAGTGGTTTCCTTTTCTAATTTTCTTTTTTGTTATCCTTCATTTTTTTTAAATTTAAGTTAATTGATTTATTTTTTGTCGCAGCAGCAGTAAAAATAGTTAGGGCATAATTGCTGTTCCTACCTTAGAGTCACAAAAATATTCAAACTCCCCCAGGTAGACTGATTCAGTCACAGCCCAATTGGGACAATATATTGACTTTTTTCTGCAGCCTTTGGTTGGGGACACTCATGCATTCTTAAGGGATACCAAGTATATTATTCAAATACTTGAAACTATGTCTTGTGCTAAATCTAGCATATTAATTATGGCAGAAGTCAGCTCATTATATACTATTATAAGTCATCAGGATTCCCTTTCCTCTGTGAAATGGGCCCTTAGTGGTTCTGATTGAAGTGGGAGACATAAGAGATACCTGTTAAAATTTGTGTCTGGGTAAGAATTACTTTTGGTATGATAAGGAGTTCTTCCTACAGGTGAGGGGGGTAGCTATGGGTGCTCAATTTGCTCCCAAAGTATGTAGTTTTCAACAATCGCCCACCCCAGCTTTCATGCTATAGAAGGTATATTGATGACCTGTTTATGGTCTGGGAAGGCGATAGAGGAAACTTGGACATATTTATGCAGAAACTTAATTCAAATAATAAAAATATATCCCTCACATGAAATACTAGTCTTAAACAAATGGTCTTCTTTGATTTGGAAATGTATAAAGATGATGGGCATTTTTAGACTAGGAATTATTTTAAGCTCACTGATTGAAATGGGTATATCCCTTTAGAAAGCTGCCACCATAAAACATGTCTATGTAATATCCCTAGAGGACAATTTATACGCTTGAGGCGTAATTAAAGAGGATGACTTTCTCTCCCAGTCTGCGATATTGGCAGAACGTTTTCAACAGAAAGGTTACCAAAAGGCTTTTTTCAGAGGAAGAAATCGAAAAAGTTGAAGTGATGGATAGAGAAATGTCCTCATTTCTGATATCCCTAAAAAGACCATTGATAAGAGAAATTAATTTAAAATAGTGTTGGATTATAATGTAAAATATAAGAAGGTTGAGAAAATCATTCTTAAACATTGGGGGATTCTTCAAAAGGATAGGGTTTTGGAGTCAGTTTTACCTTCACGTCCCCAATTTATTTATCTTAAGCCCCCTCCCTAAGGGATCTCAAAGCCCCAGGGGTGGTTGATCCCCCTGTACACACTAAGTCTTTACTATTTTCCTTTTTATCTGGAGTTTTTGCTTGTGGCCGATGTGTGGCCTGCAAACATTCAAGGGTCAAGGGTCAATATGAGGAAAAGGAAAGAATTTACGACCACGGCCACAGGGTTTAAATTTGAAAATGAAGGACATGATTACATGTAATACGCAGGGGGTTGTCTACATGTTGGAGTGCGAATGTGGCCTTCAGTATGTGGGTAGGACTTCTAGACCCCTTCAGGTTAGATTAAGAGAACACGTTACCAACATAAAAAAGGGGCTAAAAACCCATAGTTTATCTAAGCATTTTGGATTATGTCACAATTGTGACCCAAAAGGTTTAAAATTTTGGGCTATAGAGAAAATAAGCCAACATTGGAGGAGGGTTAATTTTTTTTCACCAACTAAGATGTAGTGAATCTTTTTGGATCTTTACCACTAAGGTTATGACACCTACTGGTTTGAATGTCGAGTTTGACTTAAATTGTTTTATTTCTGATCGTTTTTTACTACATTTTTTATATATTATTTGTAAAAAGATAGCCGTGGGTATTTATTTTATTTGTTTTATTTTTTACATTTTTTATGGATAATTTTAATGTGATTTTTATGTTTGGTGTCACCCAATTTGTACAGGCAGTTATCAGCCTGTAGGGGACACCACATATGTTATAATCACATTGGAATTAATGCTTATTTGCAGCAGTGGCGCAAGTGAAGTTTTGGTGTCCGTTACACGGGGCATCATGCAAGCCCCAGCTGTGTTTTTCTTTTCCTTACGAGTGCATCCCTGTTGTTATGGCAGGGGTGATTGTGCGGCTCCATTCCCACTAACGAAGTCCTGCCCCATGACGTAACGCATATGGGGGGAGGAGCCACACCTGTGACGTCACCTGCGGCTATCTTGTATTCATGCTTTGTGATTTAAAGCGCACAGTTATGCACTTTGAGAAAAGTGCCTTCTTTGTAAGTGCGTTTTTATTATTATAATAAAAGTTTGTAATACGGAGAGTACTATCTTTTGCCTTTGCTTCTTTCCTTATGTGATTTGGATTGAGTGGAATTTAAATCGCCCAAGATTGTTTGGAGTCTTCATATATATGCCCCAGAGGGGAAATGCGATGCTTGACCTTTCTGTTAATTCAGAGGTCATAGCCCGGAGGTGAGCGGCAGTGATTTTGTTGGTGAAGGGGAGTGTACACCATCCACAATTAGAGATTCATGCACGTAATACCTTCCATCACTGATTGCCTCCTGTCATCCTGCCACCATATCTCTCTCTGTGTTCCCTCCCATGTAGACTTTTTTTCTTTGCGCTGCACCATGTTTTTGTATATAATTGCTGTCCCACCTTTTGCATCCAAGGTGTTCTTCCTTCTGTGTCAGCAGTGGTTCCCTTTTTTTTTTTTTTTGCTTTCTGAATTTTTGCTTTTTTTTCCAGCAAAAAAAAAATTCTCCATATTTGGTGTTCTTTCTTCTGCGTCACCAGTGTTTTTTTTTTTCTTTGGCTTTCTTAATTTTTTTAAATTTATTTTATTTAATTTTTTTTTTTTGCAGCAGTAAAAAAAAATCTCCATAATTGCTGTAGCCCCTATTTTCTTTAATAAAAAAAAAACAATAATAAAACAGTTTAAAGTGCACCAAGCACAAAAGTATTGTACCCAAGCACCAAATTCCCATCCCACACTCTAAAATAAAAAGTTATAAAAATCACCGAAAACAATCCTCAGCATGTCTGAAAGGCCAACAAGGAGAGGCAGATGCTCACAGGCAGCTAAAAGAGGGCAAACAGTATCTGTGTCCACAGTGAAAAGTGGTGGAAGCGGACATGGTGCATCCTCTGCAGGCAGGGCAAGCTTGTCCTTTTTTTCCGGTGATGGCCATGTTATTGAGCCACAACATGCAGAAGAGGTGGAGGAGTGGATAACTAAGCCACCCTCATCCTCTGTTACCCAGGCTCATACTAGTTCACCTTCCACTGCAGCTGCCAAAGAGGCCTATCCCACAGGCTCCTATTCCACAGCTACTCCTTCTGCAGCCCCACCATCATGCATGGGGGAGTTAGCTGAATTATTCGAGCATAGGGGTTGATTTACTAAAGGTAAATGAACTGTGCACTTTGCCAATCGTAGTTGCTCCAGAGTGCAACTGCACTTTGCAAGGTGCACAGTCTATTTGTCTTTAGTAAATCAACCCAATATCTGGTGCATCACAAAATAGAAATTTATAATCCCTAGCCACACTGTCCTCCAACCTAGAGTCAGTCCCAGGCCAATGGCTTCAACACTGTCTATGGAAAACATTTGTAGAACGTCTCCAACATTTGAGATTGACTGACCATGACTTGACACCAGGGGGGGACTGACTACTCATGGGGCCCCCGGGCAATAGGGGATCATGGGGCCCCTGTGTCCTTGCCCAAACCCAAAAAAGCCTATGAAAAAGGTACCAGGGGCATCTCATGGGGCCCCCTACTGACCCCTGGCCCTCGGGCAGTGCCCCAGTTTCCAAATGGTCAGTCCACACCTGCTTGACACCATTCAAAGCAATTTACTTACAAACAACAGGACCCATGCATTTAATATCACAGCTCTGTACTGTTGAATCACATGTAGGGTACAGTACCTTGTTATATCACTGCCTGAGAGAGGAACCTAGAACCAACTAGAGCAGTGATCGCCAAACTGCAGCCCGGGGGCAGGGTGGGGCCCTTTGGTTTCTTTTATCTGGCCCTTGGGGCTCTATTTCATCCACTGATAACAACAATGGGGCATAATTCCCTCCACTGACACCAATGATGGAGCACAATTTCTCCTAATGACACCAATTATGAGACACAATTCCTCCCAATGATGGGGCACAATAAGATGGCCATGACCTCTGATAGCTTTTTTAGGAAAGAGTTTTAGGCACTGACAACCAGGTGACAGGCCTCGATATTCCTATGACTCCCAAAGTTTCACTCTAACCATGATACCAGGCCAATCCCTAAGACCAAAAGGGCATCCTACAGTATTTTCTGCTGGCTGTTGGAGCAGCTATTCCAAGACACTGCAGTATAAATGATCCATGTACCGACAATTGCTGAACATACTCATAAACAACACATAGAGAAACACATGGCACAATTAGACATATTCATTATATATCGTCCTGTGGAGTGTGTGGATAGCCTTTTCAGGTCCATCGCAATTCAAAATCCTTGCAACAATTTAAAGTGTTACTAAACCCACAACAGTAAAATCAGTCTGTATATGCAGTAAAGCATGCTTGTTATACTCACTGTGGTACCTAAGGGGTTAATCCTCCGCATTGTGTAAAAAGGCTGTTTGATCCTGTCTTCTCTGCCCCTCCTCTTGATGAAATGACCACCTGATACAGACTGAACCCATGGTCACATACACATGCTCAGTTTGGTGTGTATTGCTAGAGAGTTTTTTTTTCTTTTTCTTGGGAGGGTGCATGTGATCAGCTCAGGGTCAATCAGCACCGTCCAGACAGAGGTCAGGGGTTCTGCATCCTCCTAGAGCAGAAAGCTCCTACAAGCTTTAACCAGTGCTCTGCTGAAGTCCCAAGACTGCTCTAACTGCTGATGAGAAAAGGCATTTAGCAGTTTATATTTACTATAATAATTGCATTTCCATGTTCTGTGTACTGTGGGAGACCAGATATAGTGAATGAGGGTCCTGGGAGACCAGATATAGTGAATGCAGGGTCCTGGGAGACCAGATATAGTGAATGCAGGGTCCGGGGAGACCAGATATAGTGAATGCAGGGTCCGGGGAGACCAGATATAGTGAATGCAGGGTCCGGGGAGACCAGATATAGTGAATGCAGGGTCCGGGGAGACCAGATATAGTGAATGCAGGGTCCGGGGAGACCAGATATAGTGAATGTGGTCCGGGGAGACCAGATATAAAGGGTCCTGGGTTTAGTGTCACTTTAAAGACATTCTCAACACATCTGGGTATAGCACATGGGCTCCTCGCTTTTTTTTTTTTACTTTTTTCCTAATTTATTTCTTTCTCTGCATTTTCCCCTTACTTCCCTCACGGGCATAGTCAGCACTCTTGACAAGTGCCTATGACAGGTTCAGCAGCTTGTATTAACCCCTGCAACACTGAAGGATTACCGCAATGGGGGTATGGGGGGGGGGGGGGCAGCAGCACAGAAGATTTCAACTAACAGAGCAGACAGCAGCACAAGGGAAATTTCTCATACAATGCAAGCACTAAACATCAGCTTTAAAGGAGAAGTACAATCAAAGCTCATTTGGCTGTACTTCTCCTGTGGATCACAGGAATGCAGTTTGTTCTGCATTCCTGGGACCCGTTTTCAGCTAAAGTCTGCTGTCAGCTGATGTCACTCAGTCGGTCCTGGCTGGGGAAAGATCCCGACTTTAAAGTCGGGATCCACCCCAGAGTCCAGAGCGGCACCTGCCTCAGCCTAATCCAACCGCTCCCTACCCCTCCACAGCCCAGCTCTCCAGTGAGCACTGGGGGGGCAGAGCGGCTCAGAGTGGCTGTGAAAACTCAGAGATCATTGCACATGTGATCGCTGAGTTCTCACACTGAGAGCCGACGGGGACCGATGCTTCATCCACATAGGTAAATATAAATGGGAGTCCTACTTCTCTTTTAAACTTTCCAATCCCTCTCTTTGCCTTCTGTACATTGCTTACAGATAATCTCTGTGGAACTAAATGTTATCATCCCATACAGTACTCATCACATAACCCACAATATACAGTAATAATACCAAGGTTCTCCAACACAATTGGTTTTGCTATTTCTCAATTTTTTATTGTAAACTCAGAAGCAGGGGCGGACTGACCATTCGAGCACTTGGGCACTGCCCGAGGGCCCTGGGGTCATTAGGGGGCCCCATGAAATGCCCCTGGTACCTTTTATAGGCTTTTTTGGGTGTGCTTTGAGTGTGGGCAAGGACACAGGGGCCCCATGATCCCTTATTGCCCGGGGGCCCCATGAGTTGTCAGTCCGCCCCTGCTCATAAGCTTTTGTACTGTTATAATGTTTGCATGACTTAGGTTGTGCCACATTCCCTGTAAGGCCTCATTCACACTGGTACTGTTTCAGATGTGACTTGAGTCGCACAGAATCACATGACAATGGAAATCACATTGTTTTAAATGGTGCCCATTCACATCAATGCAACTCAGCACTGAGCAATTTTGGAAAAGGGTCTTGTACTACCTTGGAGCAATTCAAGTACAATTTTGGCCCCATAGAATATGCTAACCACATCCATGTGGCCCTACATTATCGCACTGAAAATCAGATCAATTCAGCATTTTGAACCTAGCCTAAACCTTACTCCTGCTTATTAAAAAAACTTTAAAATATAACTAAAGGCATTTTTTTTTTTTTTTTGGATAGAGTGCAGAGGGATTAGAACGGGGGGTCAGCAACCATTAGATCTCGGCCAGGTGACTGGTAGATCACAGAATCGGTTTGCTGACCCGCCATCCCACAGCATCTAAGAGAGTGCAATGTAGAGGGACTACTTGTAAAGTTGGAGCTGTAGTAGGGAGCAAGAACCGTATAAGCCGATGAATCCTCTGTAGGGACGGCTCCTACACCCTGTCACGGTTGGTGGGTGTAGCACCAGCCAAGCATGGCCCATTCAAATGAATGAGGCCGCTCTGCAAGTGCCCTTGTGCAGTACAGCAAACAAGGGGTTAAACAGGCAGCGGTGTGTTGCTTTTTCACCACTGCTTTAACCCCTTGGACTCCACAGAAGCATGCAGTTGCAGGGCACTTGCAGAGTGGCCCCATTTACTTGAATGGGTCTCAGTTGACAGGCAGCAGCACCCACCAAAAGCAACAGGGGGTGTAACTTCTGCTGTGGCATGTGTACACCTTTGGCTGCTGCCTCAGCAGCTAAAGGGGGTAGGGATTGGGGGGCGGTAAAACCGTGATTCAACAGCAGGGTTTTACCCCCACCCCCCCCCCCAACTGTACAGTTGAACAAACCCTTAGAGTGCCACTGCCGATTACAACTAAGGGCTCATTCGCAGGTGCAGTAGGCTTTGCTGCTCCTCTGCAAAGTGATCTGAGTGTGTTTGTCATGTGTTGAGGAGGTGATATGTTGCCTCCTTTGCACCTAATTTAAACCCATGATTGCCATGCAATGCACATGATTGTAACATGGTAGTACAGCAATTAAATCAGGTGTGAGGAGGCAGCACCATGCCTGGTGATATTTGGCTTCTCCCATGTTGTCCAGGTAGATCTCCACCTCTTTAACCACTTCAAGTCCAGACACTTTTCCCCCCTTCCTGCCCAGGCCAATTTTTAGCTTTCAGCACTATCACACTTTGAATGACAATTACACAGTCATGCAACACTGTACCCATATGAATTTTTTTTAGCATTTTTTTGAGACAGATAAAACTTTATTTTGGTGGTATTTATTCACCACTGGGATTTTTATTTTTTTTGCTATATACAGGTGAAACTCGAAATATTAGAATATCGTGCAAAAGTTCATTTATTTCAGCAATGCAACTTAAAAGGTGAAACTAATATATGAGATAGACTCATTACATGCTAAGCAAGATAGTTCAAGCCGTGATTTGTCATAATTGAGATGATTGTGGCTTACAGCTCATGAAAACCCCAAATCCACAATTTCAGAAAATTAGAATATTACGTGCAATCAATAAAACAAGGATTGTACATAGAACAATATCGGACCTCTGAAAAGTATAAGCATGTATATGTACTCAGTACTTGGTTTGGGCCCCTTTTGCAGCAATTACTGCCTCAATGCGGCGTGGCATGGAAGCTATCAGCCTGTGGCACTGCTGGGGTGTTATGGAAGACCAGGATGCTTCTATAGCGGCCTTCAGCTCTTCTACATTGTTCGGTGTCATGTCTCTCATCTTTCTCTTGGCAATGCCCCATAGATTCTCTATGGGGTTCAGGTCAGGCGAGTTTTCTGGCCAATCAAGCACAGTAATCCCACGTTCATTGAACCAGGTTTTGGTGCTTTTGGCAGTGTGGGCAGGTGCCAAGTCCTGCTGGAAAATGTAGTCAGCATCCCCATAAAGCTTGTCTGCGGAAGGAAGCATGAAATGCTCCAAAATCTCCTGGTAGATGGCTGCGTTGACCCTGGACTTAATGAAGCACAGTGGACCAACACCAGCAGATGACATGGCTCCCCAAATCAACACAGACTGTGGAAACTTCACACTGGACTTCAAGCATCTTGCAGTGTGTGCCTCTCCATTCTTCCTCCATACTCTGGATCCTTGGTTTCCAAATGAGATGCAAACATTGCTCTCATCAGAAAAGAGGACTTTGGACCACTGAGCAACAGACCAGGTCTGTTTTTCTTTAGCCCAGGTAAGACGCTTCTGATGTTTGTTGTTCAGGAGCGGCTTGACAGGAGGAATACGACATTTGAAGCCCATGTCCAGGATCCATCTGTGTGGGGTGGCTCTTGATGCACTGACTCTAGCCTCAGTCCACTCCTTGTGAAAGTCCCCAACACTTTTGAATGGCCTTTTCCTGACAATCTTCTCCAGGCTGTGGTCATCCCTGCTGCTTGTGCACCTTTTTCTTCCACACTTTTCCCTTCCACATAACTTTCTATTAATGTGCTTTGATACAGCACTTTGGGAACATCCAAATTCCTTTGGAATTACCTTTTGAGGCTTTCCCTCCTTATGGAGGGTGTCAATGATGGTTTTCTGCTCAACTGTCAGGTCAGCAGTCTTTTCCATGATTGTGATTCCTACTGAACCAGACTGAGAGACCATTTAAAGGCTCAGGAACCCTAAAAATTTAAAAATCCAAACATTTTGAAAAAAAAAAAAGTGTTTTTCTTATAAAACTTTGCAAATAAATATGCTTTCTTCATAAATATTGGCCAAAGTGTATTCATCTATCTTCTTAGTGAAAAAAAATAGCCCAAATTAGTTTATAACCAAAAATTATAATTTTTCAAACTTTTTTTTACATTTTTATTTAATTTTTTCATATTATTATTCATGTTTTTTTTTAACATACTGTCACCTTAGCAGTGCAGTGTCACCATAGTGACACTGTACTACTTGTCGGGCGTGATGAAGATTTTTGGATGGCTGCGTTTTATATACGGTATATATATTTTTTACATTTTTTCTTAATATATACAGTTAGGCCCATATACAGTTGTGTTCAAAATAATAGCAGTCAGACATCACTAACCTGATCAATCACTGTTTTTGGTAGAAATGATATTTCTACATGGCAAATAATTTACTAGCAGGTGTAGTAGAGTAATAGAAATCCAACAGACCCAACAGTCATGACACGCATGCTGCTGATTCTGTGTAATTGAATCACTAATTGAAAGGGGCATGTTCAAAATAATAGCAGTGTGGAGTGCTATTAGTGAGGTCATTCATTCTTTGAAAAACAGGAGGCAGTTATTGCCCTTATTTAAGGAAGGAAGGCAGCAAATGTTGTACATGCTGGTTACAGTGCATTTCTCTCTGAAATCCTGAAGAAAATGGGTCATTCCAGACATTGTTCAGAAGAACAGCGTACCTTGATTAAAAAGTTGATTGGAGAGGGGAAAACATAAAGAAGTGCAGAAAATGATAGGCTGCTCAGCTAAAATGATTGCAAATGCTTTAAAATGGCAACCAAAACCTAAAAGACGTGGAAGAAAGCGAAAAACTACCATTCGAATGGATAGAAGAATAGCCAAAATGGCAAGGACTCAGCCAACAATCAGCTCCAGGAAGATCAAAGAAGGTGTAAAGTTACCTGTGAGTACTGTTACAATTAGAAGACGCCTATGTGAAGCCAAGCTATCTGCAAGAAGCCCCCGCAAAGTCCCACTGTTGGAAAAAAGACGTGCTGAAGAGGTTACAATTTGCCAAAGAGCACATTGACTGGCCTAAAGAGAAATGGCGCAA